AGCTTGCACAGCGCTGGTTCAGAACTTCGGCGGACTGGTCGCATGTCGATTTTTCTTAGGTATTACTGAAGCACCCTTCTACCCCGGAGCTACATATATGCTCTCGATCTTCTACACCAGGAAGGAAGTGGCGACACGTATCGCATTGCTATACTGTGCGCAGATTCTGGCTACAGGCTTCAGTGGATTGATCGCGGCCGGCGTTTTCCAACTGGATGGCGCCCGAGGCATCTCAGGCTGGCGCTGGCTATTTATTATGTTAATCTACCTTCTCTTGCTTGAACATACATCGCGCTAACTTATTAATAGCGAAGGAGCCGTGACCGCGTTGGTCGCCATCTGGGGTTTCTTCATGCTTCCGAACACCCCACTTACCACGAGCTGGCTTAACCCACGGGAGCGCGAACTCGCTCATGCACGTATGGAGCGTGACCGAGTCGGCGATTCCACCGAGCCTGTCAGCATGATGGAGGGACTGAGGCAGGCATGCCGTGACAAGAGGACGTGGCTGTTCTGTCTCATGCAGAACTTCCATCTCAGTGCTTGCTCGTTCAACTCTTTCTTCCCAACGTAAGTACATTCGTATACTCACGAGAAAGTTCGCTGACAATGATGTTAGTGTCATCAAGACCCTCGGTTTCAATACAACGATTACTCTCCTACTGACCTGCCCTCCCTTCCTGCTTGCCGGCGCGGCAGGTATCGCTACAGGCTGGAGTTCAGGACGTATGCATGAGCGCACCTGGCATATCACTGGTGGGCTGCTAGTCGCCATTGTCGGATTCGTCATCGCTGCCAGTACGATGAACACAGCGGGTCGATACGTTGCCTGCTTCATCTTCCCCATGGGCGCCTATTCCGTCAACTCCGTCATCATCGGTTGGGCATCTTCGACCCTCAGTCAAACGAAAGAGAAGAAAGCTGTCGTGTTGGCGATGACGAACGTCGGAGGCCAGATTGGATACATCTACGGCGCTTACCTCTGGCCAGACACCGACAAGCCTCGATACGGAATTGGGTTTGGTGCATCTGCTGGATTCGCGCTGCTGTCGATCGCTTGTGCCTGGGCGATTCGCGTGATGCTCATCAAGGAGAACCAGAGGCTCAAGGCGTCGACGAATGAGCGGGTCAACTTGTACGGATACTAGACGGGTAGCTGAGTTGAGGGGAAGTCACAGACCGGAAGTTGGCTCGCATATGATGGGACGATTTGGCATATCACGGATCGCGTCACGATTCGATAAGTACAAATGTTCGAAATTCAACTATATACCCGCTCTGCCATTCTTCTCTACACATGGATGAAACTGCAAACCGTCGGGGATGTATCCACTGTGCTCTAGATGGCACTGGATGCTGGCCCAAAACTTGAGGAACATACCGCCTGGCTCGGTCGTCAAGCTAGTAAAGCATTCGCATCTCGCCCTGCAGTCCGTGAAGTCGTTCCGAGACGGCCATCCAAATGACCCATTCCGCTTTTTACATGTGACGTGTGAAAAAAGAAAGCCCTTCAATGCTGTGAAGCACATTATCGATCTCTGCAGCATCCCATCATGCCAATGAATGGGCTAGTATAGACGAGGCTACCAATCAGACAAGCGGATCCTTCGGAAGACCGACTATGCTCTTCACAGCAGGAAGAGCTAGACAAAACGCCTTGATGATGCGGTCTCGGCCTCGGTCTTCGTAATCCCTATCAAAGGCGCTCCCATACGTCTATTCTCTTTCCGGGGAGTCATTCCAGATAACGTGAATATCGAGGCTCGTAGGCTTTTTGAGGTTCGCAAGTGCGCTCAATACATCTGTAAGCGATCCCAAGCAAGGGAAACTCGCAACATTAAGCTGACGACACTTCGCGAGTGACATTTCATCCGTTTGCGAGCAGTCGATGGTTTCGAGACCCAAATACAGGCTCTTCAACGAAGGTAGCACGAGAGGTAGCAATGATATCCCCCCTACAACATCCCGCTTGATCTGCATAAGAATCAAGTTGTGATCAGAGGTTGCTCTCGCACCCAGTCGTATAAGGTAATCAGACTAGTCCCTCGGTAAGTTTGGCTTCACCATTCGAAGGTTCTCAAGGCTTACGGATAAGATGTTTGGGTTCATCAGACCATTCACAGTGACCCGAGGTAGGTAACCATTCTCGATTCGCTGTCGAATTTCCATTGGAACCAAACGTCGGAAGGTACGGAAGAGGAATCGATGTGGCTGTGCATCGCTGACGAAGGTCCACCAAAAAGTCGGTCCTGTAAGATACTGCAAGGCTTGATGATATGCGTCGGCTGAGTACTGATCTTTCAACTTCGCGAGGAAGTCGACAGCTGGTGCATCGAGTCGATCTTGGTCATTGGGGAACAGCTTGATCTTTACATCGCTGCTGCCGTCGCTTGCTGCCCACTTGAAGATCATATGTTTGATCTCTAGTGGTAAAAGTTCGTCAAATGCTTTTGAGAAGGAGATATTCTTGGAAGACATGTCGGGTACGAGTTGTGCTTGTGGTAGTCTGATCGTGCGTATTGTTGCTGGTTTCCGAAATCGAAATCGACAAACTTTATGATTTGCAGTAGCTATGGAATCGTCAGGTGGAGGATAGGAAGAGAGCCCTGTGTGTCAGAATGTCTCTCAAATAGCTCGACCATAAAGTCTCGTTGTGCCGGCAGATATCCTGTTGTTATACTCAACCTGTACCTTCACCTTCGGCGGTCACCGTACATTCTCACCTTTACTAGTCACCTTCATCATGCCATCTCACTTGACGAAGGTGAGTATCTAATCGCGTAAGAAACAACTGCTCACGACAACAATACGGAAACGTAACCTTGCCATAGAGCCATTCCCTCAACTGCGTGTACCAAGACACAAGCCCACGTAGATTCATAAGATCTTTTGTTAGTGTTACAGTTATCGTTCAAGACTCGTTCACGTAAAGTGTCGCGCTGGTAATGAAGCTGTTCAAGGCACGCGACGCGCCCTCGAAAGCGCAGGAGCCGGGCGATGACGAAACCTGGCCCCACTTTTACCGCGGGGCAGCCTCGGCCGCGCAGCATCTCCAAACCAGCACAGCGAACGTCGGTAGTAACGCCGTTAAGGTCGCTCAAAGATGATCTAGAACGCGGTTTGATGGAGTCGCGCGTATGCAGGCAGCGCCACAGGTGAGTCAGGCAAGATGCAACCTCCCAGCTTAAACCCGTCTCGGGTTTAACGCCCACACTAGCAACGCGGGTGGTCACCAGTCTTTTGTAGGATGAGATCTTTTCCGTGCTTTTCCGTTTCTCTTCATCTTTTCTTCTCGACATCTAAAAGCAGTCGACGTTGAGTTTGCACTCTTACGAAAGGTCAACTCGCGTTCTCTGATCCAACACGCGGCACAGTCCAACATTGCCACCATGGCCCCCACGGCGATATCGCGGATCGCTGGATTTCTCGGCATCACATCACTCAACGCGACTGGACGAGATGCATACATCATCATCACACTGCGATCGTTGAGAATGTTCACGGCCGGCATTCCGTCGCTGATTCTCGCTCTCTTCTTCTCCTCGCTCAAATTTCCGGATTCGAGGATTGGGGTCTTCATGACATTGACATTGCTCGGAGATGTTCTACTGTCATTGCTGCTTACTCTCGTGGCGGACAAAATAGGCAGGAGAAAGATTCTTTTCATGGGCAGTGTGATGATGGCTTGTTCAGGCGTCGCATTTGCCCTGTCAGAAAACTTCTTCATTCTTTTGGTTGCGGCGGTGTTCGGCATCATTTCTGTCACCGGCGCTGACTGTGGTCCTTTTAGGGCTGTCGAAGAGAGCATGTTGAGTGGCCTAACGGACGAGACAACAAGAAGCGATGTACTCTCGTGGTATGTCACAGCGACAACATTGGCAGGGGCCATTGGCGCAGAAGTCGCAGGGAGAACGGTAAATGCTCTCGAGAAGAGCAGCGGTAATGTGACCAAGGCATACCATGCCCTGTTCTGGGGCTATGCAGCCTTCGGAGTGCTTGGGAGCATCCTTTGTCTGGGTTTGAGTAGCAGATGCGAGGCTGCAGGTGAGAAGCGGGCGGAGATGCAAGAGCGAGGACGTGGTGGGGGCCATGGCGAAGAGGAAGAAGTGCTACTGGAGGCGATGACACCCAGCACCACGGACGGTTTCGACCAAGACCGCGAGCACGTAGGAAGATCAGCGGGTGTCAGGAATCCGCCATCGCAAAAGAAAGCAAGCTACTTTAGTCAGATCTCGCAGAGTACACGATCCGTCATGTACAAGCTCTGGATTCTCTTGGCTGTTGACAGTCTAGCAGACGGCATGACACCTTACTCGTTGATGAACTACTACGTCGACCAAAAGTTCCACGTCTCAAAGTCTACGCTTGGGGATATTACCTCGGCTTCGCAGTTTCTTTGCGCAGTTGGAGCTATCTTCGCCGGACCATTGGCCAAACGCATAGGTCTCATCAACACCATGGTCTTCACCCACCTCCCATCATCGATCGCCAGCGGCTTCATCCCATTACCTTCAAAAGTCGGTTGGACGGTGGGCCTGCTGCTATTCCGAGCTTCCCTCAATAGCATGGATCAAGCACCGCGTACAGCTTTCATTGCAGCAGTCGTGAAGCCTGAAGAGCGTACGGGTGTCATGGGCATCACTAGTATGCTGCGCACGTTAGCCATGAGCGTTGGGCCATCAATAACAGGCTTCCTCTCCGGTAGCGATAACTTCTGGGTGGCATTCGTGGCTACGAGTATTTGTAGGATCACATACGACATTGGATTGTGGATGTTGTTCGTAAACGTCAAGGTAGAGAAGGACGTTGGAAGAGAAGACGATAGGGATAGCGTCGATGATGATGCTTGGAACGGATTGCTCAGCGACACGGAAAGTGACATCAGTAGCGAGGGGAGAAAGAGCAAGGATATTGATCGCGAAAGTAGGGTATAACCCAAAGATTGTATTGAGTGAGGTGTTGTTTTGCCTATCGAAGCATGATCACCATCGCCTTTCAGACTAGCATGCAGCCTTCTCTGCTCCAAGCATTGTGCTATCCCGATTATCAGTAAACAGTTTGACCTTCACCGCTCTTGCCTGCCTCTTTTGAGCTGGCAAACTGTCTTTAGTACCGAACCTCTCCTTAGTATGATGATCCAAGCCGTGTAACAACGGCACAAGCGCACTGCTTTTCCACACTTGCGTACCAGACGTATGCGTCATCGTCATCGTCGCGAGCAAGAAGACCAGAGTGGCCACCACAGCCGCGATCGGTAAGACAGCAAAACCCCACCGGATGTGGACATAGGACTCTACCGTTATCGACTTGCCGTTCGTATCAACAGCGCCATTAAAGCCGCGAAAAGCGGTTGTCATCGATACGGCCAAGTCGCTCATTAGCATATTGAGTCCATCAGCGTACTCGTAGTAGTTCCAGTAGAACGCGGTGACAATATCCGTGTCGAAGAAAGTCTCGCCTGATGAGATACCGACTGTGAGATTGACAACTACGGCACGGTCTGGGTCTGTGACACTTCGGGTGAAGTCGCTAGTCGTACGGGTGGCGGAACCGTTGGTAAAGATTGCACTAAACCATCCGCGTATGCTCAAAAGCGCTTCCATGCCAAGCAAGTACGCAGTGTCATCGGACTTGCCAGTGATATAAACACCATAGTCGACGGCAGGATCGGGGGAGCTCATGTCGATGACAGTGTGGTTGAGAACAGAGTGCGTGACATTCTCTTGGTGCGTACCGTTTGTGACCGATGCGGACAGCGTATTTGCACATGCTTGCAGGCTGCATTGTGATGCCCAAGGGTTCAGAGCGTTGGGTGTATCTTGAAGCTCTGTACCCATGAAGATGAGTCGGATTATCGTGGAGTGGGGCATGTCGCCATACGCCGACGGGATGAAGGATGTCATACTGAATACATCGGAGCTCGTGTTGACTAAAAAAAAGTGTAAGCAATAAGTACCCGCCAATTTACAATTTGCACATGCGAAACTTACGATGAGCTCCTTGCGGTACTTGCCATCCGCATGAGGACATGTTTGGCGATGCACCCAATTCAGGTGGACAGTAGCGTGTCATGAGCGGAGTGATGTCTGTGCAATCATGGCAAATAGCCAGCGTCTCGAAGGGTTCCCAGGTGCAAGTACCACTCTGGCACTTGAATGGTAGTGACGCAGCAGGTCTATTGTTCTCCGCGAATAAGCCGTTGTAGACTGCGGCTTTAAGTGGGAGAATCGGCACGAAACCCGCTAGAAACCTACGTCAACGAATGATATCGAAATGCGCTTGATGCTACTTACTCGTGCTGGTGTTACCCGGTAACGCAGGGGTGAAGTTGAGGGCTCTAGGCATGATGGCGCCAAAGTCACTTTCCACGTTACGGATTTTGTAAGTTGCGATCTGCTGCGCGAAAGGTCCAAGGGCGAGACCTATAACAGCGACGATAGCGCCAAAAGACCCGAGAAATCTGATCAAGCATTCGTCAGTCATCTGTCAACCATGTCTTGAGCTGAGAAACGTACCCTCCTCTGGCAGTCGCCAGCAGTTTGATAGAGCCCCACGAACCACGACTAGCGTCATCGAAGGCCTCCATGTCAGACAATGGAGCCGATGTCTGCTTGAAACGGATCCATTTCGCCTGCGATAGTCCACTCGACAGGCAAACCGACATTGCAGCGTTTGCAAAAGTAGCCAACAGGGCAATGAGAGCGTTCAAAGTTATGCTGTAAGGCCAGTCTGGCAACGCGTGTCCATTGTATTTGGCTACCACGCCGACAATGGCGGCGACAGCACCCAGTCCAATTGCGACAGCCATGATCTCGAAAGCCCAAGACCGCGCACGGGACGCGCCAGCCTTGCTGTCAGACTTTGTGCTACATACCTCCGAAGACGTTACAGCCGTGCTGTTGGTAGACGAACTCCAATGCGTTACATGCTTCTTGATAGAGGGTGATTTAACAGTCGAACGTGGACTCGTGGGGCTGAAATCGAAGTCTCGTATCTCTTCATAGTTTTGCAGGGTGGACGAAGGCGGAGTGTAGTCCTCGTTGACCGGCGTCACTTCCACGTTGTGCTGTAATTTGGGTAGTTGTTGGTACGCCATCGCGAGGCTGGGGCTGAGGCTGAAGCAGGTAGTACCCGAAGATGAGCCCTAATTGCAGTGTTTCACAATGCGGCGAAATGCTCAGGTCTGAGTAACCTAGATATCTATGAATATATAAGGGATTTCCGCTTTGGTCAGCCGCTGTATAATGCCGCTCCTTCCAAGCGTGATAAGCACAGACAACCCGCTCTCAAGAAATGGTAAGCTTATGCCGCCATGCCCACGTTTGGGGTTCAGCTCACACAGTGCCACATCGATGCAGCTTTGTGGTGCAGGCGTACTGGTTCTTATTCGCCAGTCACGCTGCAAAGATTACCTGCCACATGCGCGGCCCTTGTATTAGGCATTGATTGTCTTGGAAACAATGGAGGATGTTGGCGATAAGCAAGGTGGCGGCGCAGTATGTTCATGGCAGATCGGCCAAGAGTGCCTCGTGGAGCAAGCGTAGTATATGATCGGCAAGACCATGCAGAAGCTCTAGATTGCATTCACCTCTCGGTATCCATACTCCGAGCCTGATCCGCATCATCAGCAAAGAAAGAAAGAATAGAGTGCGCCTTTGACTCAGACTGCGGTCTGGTCCTTGGTTGGGCTGGGTCTTTGAGATGGTACTTTGGTATACGGTATGATTGCGATAGCTTTGATGCTCATCAGCAAGCATCCTCACTATATATAGAGAAGCTACTGCGATGCCCGCACTTTCCGCCCCATCCTCGGTCGACATAGCTTCATCCGGCGTTTGCGATCTTGGCAAGATATACCTGCAGAAATGCGCTAGAGCACCATTTGATGGTACATGGTATGCGAACAGGTCTTATCGCGCGGGGCTCGCGCAATGTCTAGGAAGGATTGCCGTGCACATCATGGTGGAAAGGGCCTCCCTGGTGGCTGTCGAGAGGTGGGGCCGAACACCACCTGGACACTTGAGCCGGCTTGGCGCAGACATACGATCAGCACCAACAGACAACCCATTCTGCACTTTTGTCGATGTACGCGACTATACAGAACAGGCTAAGCCGCACAGATTCCAGTGGGGGGTTGTGGACGCAGAGCGACAGGGTGGCATTGCCGTGTACAGAGGTATGGTTGCTTCGTCAAAGCATGGCGAATGCTCAGAAGTCTTCGTCTTCGTCATCGAAGTCGTCCTCGGCTAAGGTGGCTGCGGCGTTCGTAGCATCCAGGTAGGCTTTGATATGCGCGATGGTTTGCTTCTGAGCCTTCCACCTTATCAGATTCTGGCTCTCGCGATCCACGACTTCCTTGGACCAAGTCATCGGATTGGGATCAACGTCATGATCGATTTCCATACGACCTAGGCTTAGATTTGGTAACCCCAGCAAGCTCTCTTGCCATTTCTTGAATTGCTCGTCGACCTCCGCCACTTCCCTGTGCATTATAGCTCTTTCCTCTTTCATTGTGTACAATGCATCTCGTTCCCGAGATGACATTGAAGCTTCTCTTCGCAAGAGCATGAGGGTTTGAGCGGCATTGCGCTCGGCAAGTTCCACATCTTCGTAGTCCCGGATAACGGTCATCGAAGAGTATTTGCCCCATAATGGGGTCATGTTGTCCACCTTCCAAATGTCTCTACCGTGCTTATTGTTACGTGGATTCAACTTCGAACGATAGCGCTTACGTCGCATGTCTCGAAGGCCGTCCTCTAGATGGCTGTATGTAAATTCGTCCTCTTCGGTGTCTTTGAGTAACAGGTTCAGAGCTCGTTCTTCTCGAAAGACATTCTTCAGCATACGCTTCCAATTCGTAACCCGGACAATGATGGTGTCTTCGTCTTCGCGCTCCTCCAGTTCAATATCCACGTCTTGCTCGTCTGCCATGCCAAAATCCACAACCGTTGGGCCTACTTTGACACACCAACGTAGCTGCCCGTGCACTGAAGATGGCTTCCGTAAATCAAGACATTGTACGGTATGGTGCCACCACGGATTGTCGGGTTCAATCTCGCCGACACTGCGGGCAAACGTGTCATACCAGGACTCCTTGATGCGAAAGTACGCATTTTGTGGATCCCATACGGCTTGGTTGCCCACGCGCTCGTCTAGACGTTCGAAAGTCGCGTGGACAAATGCCAAGTCCCAGTAATCTTGCGCATTGAGTTGCTCCATGAGTTCACCTTCTTTCGGTCCGAGATAGCCGATCAACTCCACACGTTGGATGTGATAATAAAGCACAGACGTGTCAATCACTTCTTTGAAGGCTTTGCATACGAGCCGGTGGTCCAAGATGTCCGCTGGGTCGGCGTTGTCAAGGACGGTCAAAAGGACTTCGGCAGGTAGAGTCGGTAGCTGAGATGGGGATGCTTTCTGGCTTGCTGCAAGGCTGCTCAAAAGTAACTCGTGATCTCTGCCCTTCTCTGGTGGCTGAGATGTAGCTGGAAGATTGGACGGATCGCTCTCGTTGTCTTCTTCATCGTCGTCGTCGTCCAGGACCACGCGACGCACTCTTTTGTGTGTTGTTGTGGGTGAAACATCGTCAGATCCCGAATCTGAGTCGTCCACAACTAGCGGTCGTTTGCGAGGAGATATTTGAGGAGCTTCAACACTCTCCTTCTCGCTCTCGGACTCCTCACGAACAATCCGGCGATTCCGGGGGCTGACCATCTCGCATGTGACTTGCGTTGGCAGGGAAGGCAGGGTGAATGACGATGTGCACGAGTTAGATGCAAACGATATTGGGATGATGTATTTCCAGTGGAATTGAGGTCAGTGGTGATAACACGTTGGTGTTGATGCAAACAGGAGAGCACAAAGAGCAAGGTGGGCCAGCCCGAAGCCGGCGGGGACTGCTGCAGGAACCCGGCGGGTCCATCCAATCACGCACCGAACTGCCGGTGGTGACCGACCCCAGCGTCATCAATTTCCTTGTTTCTCCAGTGTCTGCGCGTTTGAGTTGTAGCGCTGGCCCATTCGCACTCGTCTTGTAATAATCCGGTACCAATGATTTTGGGGCGTACTTTGGCTGGGTGTATAATGACGACGCCAATTTGGCGGCGGCAGTGATCGTGTTCCGTCTCCGTCTTCAACGTGACTGTTCAGCACATTTTACGTGTTCGTCGTGCTCAAAATAGCGTACGCTGTTCCAGATATCGCGGACACGACTGGAGTTTGGCGATTAAAGGAATTGGGGTTCGGCGCTTTTGCTGGCAGGGCGCTGTATCCGCTTGCTTCTGTGACTACACGCGCCGATCGTCGCTGGGACACCACATGATCGCGGGTATACGCAGAGCTTTAGCACTAAGACACATGAATGTTCGCGTCGTGGTCATTCATCATACATAGTGGCATTAGGATAGCGCGTTGGCATTGATTAACCTCTTCCCAAACCTAAAGGGCTCTAATAAACGCTGCAGTAGAGAGCAGACCAAGTGTGCTAGGACAACAATGGCATTGTCGTATTTACAAGGCTTGTGTAAATTTCTAGCGCGCTCAGCATTCAAGACCATAAGATTTCTTGACCTTCACCGAGACGACAAGCCACAGCAGAGATTTTTGATCCTTATCCAATTGCATACGCACCGAAGCAATGGATCAGGTCCCGCTCTTCATATCCTTTATGAGTCTCTCGAGAACTGTGTCGGTAAATGCCCAAACAGTTGAGCTGTATTGCGCTCCCCAAGCGTATCCAGTATACCACATATTTCTATATCCCTGCAGGGCATATAAGTCTTGAACAAAACCTGCTCGAAACCGCTCAGCAGACCGCGGCCACCAAGGGCGGCTATGATCCGAAAGCGCTTCAAATTCCGCTTCGCAATCCGCGGGGACAGTTCCAGCATCCTGTATTCCTTTGACGCTTTTCAAGACTATGTTTGTGAAGGCGTACGGAGATATCGTATAGTTGGCGCCGAAGACGACTCGGAAGAGACCTTGGCCTGCAGGCCCTGTCGAGTCTAGACGCAGACTGTATGGCCAGTCTTTGATCGCAAGTTGGTCAGCCGGTACCGCTGCCGAAGGCAAATACGTGATGGAGTAGTTTTCTGGTAAGCAAGGCGCCTTCAGAATTCCTACGAAGTTGGCCTCTTCGATCCAGTTCGAGAAAGCAGCCGTTTCCTTATTGTTGAGATGAAAAGGAGCCAGATTTTCCAGGCTCGGGCCTGCGGTATACAGAATGCGACGTGCCTTGATGATGTAGCTGGTATCACCCTGCTTTATTAATAGCCTCACCCCGTTCCTGGTTCGCTTTACATCGTGAACGGTGCTCGATAATAGTACGTCCGGCTTAAGGAGCTCGAGCGCGCGTTCGTAGAGGACACCGTTATTGCCAACAGGTCTGAAAAGTGTGCCGCTCAATAGACCTAAGAACAGTAAGCTAAGACCCCCAGCGAAAGAGAGTCTCAATTTGTGAACAGGCCTGCAACATCGACTGACCTTCCGTAAGTGAGGCCCCAAAAGCCTGTAAGACGGTGAGCGTCAAAAGATTGCGAATGCCTCCATAGCCCACACCAGATATTACGACTATCCGTGGAACAGCGGCTTCCAACTGATGGAGCTTAGCAAAATCACCGAATGGCGTAAGAAGTTCTTCAGGGATATCTGCTGGAGATGGAAATTGCCAGAGGCCGGGCTCCAACATATCTCTGTATTTCGACGTGATCGCAAGCCATCGCTGCAACGCTTCGTTGGTTGCATTTGCACTCGGGGCGCTGTAGTCCTCCAGTTCCTCACCCGTCTCGACGTCGATATTGAGTGCCGTCAACCTCTGATTAGTGGGGATCACCGTATCAATCTCAAAGCGTGTAAAGAAATCGGTAGCCGGTCCGTAAGGTATGTAGCTTTGGACTCCGTAATCAATCGAAATGTTTGTTTCGGGAATGTGGTAGGTGCTAGTGTGACCACCCAGATTTGGTCTGGGCTCGATGAGCACTATGCTCGTGTTTAGGTCTTCGCGAAGTCGAACGGCGGCGTACGTCCCCGATGCGCCTCCGCCGATGATTGCAACATCTCTGATCAGCTCGATATGATTTGGGGTAATTTTGCCCTCGGCAGTTGCCAACGTGACGTACGAATACAGAGAGCGCACCAATATATTGATCAATAGAGTCATGGCGAGGATGGGCTGATAGGTAGCAGACTTAAGGAAGGCTCAAGGTAGGCCTTAAGTATGACCTGACGCACTGTATGCAGCAGACGTCTTACCGGCTTCATCAATATTGCTAGTTGAGTGCACAAGGAAAGCCGCCGGAACAGCCGGAGTCGAGTACGGAGTGGCTGTAGACGAAGCTCATAGGACATCCAGCACAAGGTGGGAGCTTCCAGTCATCGGTGGCGCCTGCGAGATGTATGGCCATGCACCTGGGCAGCTGAAGGGCCTTTCCGAGGAAGTGTGGTTTAAGTGTCGTTGGAAGATAGACGCATTAATGCATCCTCGCAGTGAGAAATTCAGGCGCCGCGATCGACCTGTTTCTCAGAGCTTGCTGCACACCTGGGCCAGGCGCAAGGCCGCCGTGACTGAGAAGAGTTGGGATGCGGAAGCAGCAGTGGAGACACCCCCGGGCCCGGGAAGGCTTTCTTGGCACGCTAAAGCCACTCAAGTTTGGAGGTAGCGCTGACACCGACGCGCTGCTTCCCCAGTAACACGCCAACTTCAATCTTGGCACGCGTCGCGACAAGTCATCTTCCAAGGTTCCTTCCTTTGTGAGGCATGCCTGCATCTAACATGCATGAGTAATACATCCACGCGACCACTCCAACAGCTGAGTGCGCCATGCGACGAGCTATCCACAGCCAAAGCTTTCGATCCCGCGTGCCGTGCCGCGGAAGCTGTCCTCAGATCAGTGGAGACTATCATCCGCAGCAGATTCTCGCGACAGGATGGGTATTTCACCGACTTAGCACATACCTTGCGCAACGGCTCATTAAGGCCGTTCGATTCGGCTCACCTTTTCCTCTTGCGAAGGGGGATGGAGTGACCGGCAACTCAGAGCACGCGTTCGGGTGACTACATCGGGTCACAGTTGTTGTAATACCATGGCGACCTTCTCGGCTGATATCACAGATGTATCCGAACACCATCGTCATGACGAACACCATCGAATCATCTCAAGGAAGACTGAACAGGCAACACACGAAGCCGATTCTGTCGTAAAGAAGAGATTCATGCCTGCGTAGCAACATCGCTAAGTTGACGATTATGAGCAATGGGAGCATAGCAATTTCAGGAATACACGATCACTGTGAAGTGGTATCACTGTCACTTCATGTCAGATACGGCCTTTGCTGGAAAGCAGCAGTGTAACATCATTGCGGACCTGGTCATTCTTACCGTCTTCGTCGACTGTTCCGGTGAGCTGCAATAGGGATGCTATCAGATTATAAAAGCTTCCTGGAACTGCGGTAGGAACCGTTGGCTTCACAGGACAAAGACTCGTTATCCAGGCTTCTCACATCTTCGGGCACTTTGCGACAGTACTGACAATGTCTTCTTTAACGATCATAGCAGGATTGCTGATCTTGGCGATGTCGCCCTCCGCCATTTCGGTCTTCGTACCCCCAATTGCTGTCACGTCTACTCTGTCCGAGACCACTACAGTGTCTGACTCTGTATCCTGGTCAAATGCCTCTACCGCGAGCTCGTTCACGGACCCTACACACGCGACAGAGAATCACTCCATCGCTAACACAACGCTGACTTCAATAAAGGGCCAGAAAACAATCACGGGGACGTTCCTCTTGGAACAGGCCACCTCGACCACTCTATCAGGGTCGCCACAATGGACGAATGCTACTGCATCTGGCTACGTCAACACTAGCACCATCATTGGACATGCAAGCATGAGCTCTATTTCTTCAGTACATTCCAGGAATGAAACACTAAGCCTGGTATCTTCGCCACCGGCTATTACAGCTACCAGCACGTTGAATCTCAATTTGTCCAACACGCCCAGCTTGGAAACACTCTTGACGACTAGAACCACACAACAAGAAACATCAGGTTCATCGTCTACCGAATCAGTGGTGCTCTCAGGAAGTCTGAACTCTACTACACTTGATGAGCACTCCTCTTTGGCTTCGGGGACGTCGCATGCTGGCGAGTCCACGATATCCACGACACCCGCCACTCCCCGAATTACCATGACATCGATGCAGGCCCCAATCGCACCTATCGTCTCATACACTATCGGTGGTCAGGTCTTCTCTACGATCATTACAGCTCCATTCGCAGCACCAACGCTAGTGATGATTACGACCGTGACCTTGGGGCAGACTGCAGTTCTGCAGTTTCTCTCCGGGGGCGCAATAGTCACACCTATCCCGATACACATTTCAAATGCACCTACTATGCCGACATTGAACCCCATTGGTTTCGAGATATCTTCTGCATTGACGATGGCGTCACTGCGATGGATGGGTGTGGCGCTAGCTGTGCAAGAATGGAGCCAGAGTAGTATGGATCCAGCAAAGCAAACCGTGGTTGCAGAGGGTGTTAGCGTGTTCATGGAAGAGATGGGCTCGCTCATGGGTCGAACATCCCCAGACGGCGAGGATGACGACGACGATCACCACAAGAGAGATGGCTCATGCACACGGTCTAACAGTGGGCTTCCGTTCATTGGGGATATCTTCAAAACGATTTCGTGCGTTGTTGGCATGGCGTCAGACATTAGTCATACGTTTGGTATGTTGATCAAGGGGGCAATGGACGTTCATACAGCAATTTCGACATCCGCTGTCCAGATGGCGGCTATTGTTGATGTGATCAAGTTCATGGCGAATCCATCCTTGAACACACCACCAGTCACACCACCACTTTCGCTTCCTTCTACAAGCAATGGGCCACATGCTCCTGAGTCTGCACACGCATCCACCTCAATGCCGCTATCGAACTCCGAAATCTCGACTGATACTTCCCGTTCCAGCACTTCGGTATCATCTAGTGTCTCTAGCTCCATGGCTTGTGCTGTGCCAACTCCAGTTATCGGCGCTTTTCCAAGGGAATTGTATGCTAAGAAGCCCTTGTGTCCTCAATTTCAGCCATGCGGTGTTTCCTGTAAAACATGCCTCCAGGATATCTATGTGGAGAGTATGGAAGGATCTGGCGGAGGTATGGCCGATGTCGCATACAACAGGTCGGATACCCTCGACTCAGCGATTTTGGCACAGCTCGATCGTCCGGAGAGTGCTACGGAAGAAGGCATCAGCGCTTTTATGCGTTCCAGATTTGCTGATGCAAAGCATGCATTGGAAACAAATAACGAAGAGCGAGTCTTCGTTCCCCATGGCCACATGGGCACGGAGACTGGGAAAGGCGTTCCGTCTGCGCTATTTCGCAGATACGACCACGCAAAAATGGTACTGGGCTTGGTAAATTTGTACGGATGCACGTCTGTGTTGGTCGTGTCAAAATCTGCAATCTGGTGGTCCCACTTTTGGGAGCTTCCTGGCTTTCTAGCCTTGTATGACGAGGAATCCCCGAGCGATGGATGGTACAATACCTGGGATGAACCATTAGAGGATGAGGAAGAAGGCAAATCGAGTATCTTTCGAACCTACGTGCTCGACGTTTTGGAGTCAACGAAGAGCTGCTCTATCAACGAGGAGCCCAAGAGCTTTTTGAGTCTGGCATGCCACGTCGACAAAGCCTTCGCGGAAGGCGAAGAGCCACGAGTCATCGTTATCACCCCTAGGTCTTTACACGGTTCGGAGCTAGCGTACCCGAATCATATCAACGCCATCCGAAGCGTCCTGAGAGACAACGTCTTCAAAGACGTTAGTGAATATGATGATAACCATGTGGTAATTGTGGCTTATGATCGCGGAATGGGTGAGGATCCAAACGCGAACCCACCCCATGAAGGAGGCGATCCAGAAAAGTATTCGTGGCTGGATGGCAAATTCATGCTACAGTTCGATCCACAACATGAGTCAGACAGGGCTGCATTGGAGTTATGGGCCGAACAGAGTTCGCAGCCCGTTTTCTCTACTCAATGGTCATTCTCACAGACTGTGAGCATCACAACTACAAGCCCACCAACAACTACGCCGAGCGACGTTTATACAACCGACTCGTCTTCTTTCACAACGATCGCGACTCCGCTAGCTTCAGGTGTACCGAGACCCGGTATCAGTGGGATCCCAGGGTGCGCCTACGTGATTGCACAGAATGGACAACGCTGTGTCGAGGATTATTGCAACTGCGGAGGTACCGTGGCTCCCTTGTTGACCATGACCGTAGGCAGTACCCTGGAACTCAACTGCGAATACTCAACCCAACCAGGCTGGAACCGCTGTCCAGGCGACCCAACGGCGTCGCCAAAGTCTACGTCTGCATCGCTTACAACACCGTCTCCAACGCCTAGTCCACTTTATGAACAGGGTATTTGCAGGCTGCATATCAAAGAGTCGACTAGAAGGCGTGGGCCTGCTGAGTTGACTCTGGCTGTGTTCGACAACAGCGGCCATGCTCCACTTTCTTCCAGTCATCACGATGCTATGCGTTTCGGTGATATTGCCGTGATCGAAGGCAGTAAAACGATATTAGGCTATCCAATTGAGGTCCACTTGGGCGAACCGGAATGGTTTGAGGATGTGTATGACTCTCTTAACATTGTCATCACTTTTGGCGATGTCGCGACCGTGTCTTTCCGAGATCAGGATGCATCGAAGTACCCACACTGCAATGTTGGAGGGTGGGATCGCAGTCTTTTTAGTCTCAAAGCGCCCGTAAGTTCATCAACGAGATCTCGTGCATGAGTTGATCGCGAAAGTGTACTGATTATGTGTAGAATCGTCAAGCAGACTGCTTCTGGGCGTGTTGAGTGGCGGAGTTGATCGATCAGGTGGGGCTCGTAGATCCACGGCGAGTGAGCGCGGAGATCAGGCTCATATAGTCGTAGTCGTAGTTGTAGTCACCGAAGCGGAGTTTATGTTTCGAAGACGATTGATGATGAAGTTTGTGGTAGTGCAGTGTTCCACGACTGAGACGTGGGTGAAGGCGCCAGTCGCGTGCTGTTTCCGGCAATAACAGTGACAGGGATGGTGGGTGCGGCGAGAAGCCGCGGAAGCCGTCACGACGCGCGGGAGGGCTGCTTGTGTACGTATCTGTCC